CCCCGTGGATTCAACTACGGATTTAACTTGATTATTACTACAGCTTGACCTCCTGCACTTGGGTGTACACATTTCGAATCAAGTCAAATTTTTGGCGCCGTTGCTGGGGAACCATAAAAGTTGTTTGAAGGTAAAAGATAAAAAGACCTCTCTTTTTGTATATATATTTACTTCACTGTGTATAAATTTGTTTTAATTATTTTTATGTCTGAGGACGTTCCTCACTATCAAAATTTGCGGGCAGAATCTTCTGGGTCGGTGAATCAACAGGAACCACCTTCACCTAGATTAGTAGCAGACTCTTGTGAAAGTAGAATGACAAATGATGAGAGATGAGGAGAGGTTCCTGTGAGAGAGGGGGAAGTACCTAACATTCGAACTCAACGGGATTACTTAAATTCCACAAGAAATTGTGTTTCCTCTTGTTTTATCTTTCCTGAAGATGCACCCCTATTTACTGTAAAGACAGGGACAGTTCAACTACTCCCTCAATTTTATGGACTCGAAACAGAAAACTCATATCTGCGCATAAAAGAGTTTAAGGAATTATGTGGAACATTTCAAGACAATTCTTAGCTAACCAAAATGAAACTTTTTTCATTTTTTTTAAAGGATAAAGCTAAACAATGACTAAATTCTTTAAAAGTTCTTTCAATACCTGATTAGCGGACACTACAAATGAATTTTTCAAAAAGTTTTTGCCTCTACACCGCATTAATGCATTGAAAAGGTAGATCATGAATTTTTTGGTCAAAGAAGGAGAAACCTTTTATCAAAGTTGGGAGAGATTCAAGGATCTACTCAAGTCCTGCTCACACCATGCTTTTGAGAATTGGACTTTGGTAGGATTCTTTTATGACTCCCTGCCCACTAGACTATGTTAGTTTTCGAAATGTTTGCTCAAGGAGAGTTCATGGGTAAGAGTCTGGAGGAGGCATTCAATTTTTTTGACACCATATTTGACAGTTCTCAGATGTGGGACTCAGTCTCCCCTACCATTGTTGAAGTCAAATCATTTACTACCCAAGGGGGTAATAAGTATGTCTTCAGAGATGATGATGACCAAAAAGCAAAAATGTCTACCCTATCTCGAAAGATTGAAGCTTTAGTGATGAAAAAGGTTCATCAAGTTGGTATCGGCTCTCCCACAAAACAATTGTGTGGGATCTGTGAGCTGACAAGACACCCTACTAGGGAGTGTCCTACCATTCCAGCATTCAAAGAGGTTCTGTTAGAGCAAACAAATACAATTTCTAACTTCAACAATCCTTACTCCAATCCATACTTTAAAACATACAATCCAAGGTGGTGGAACCCCCCGAACTTCAGTTGGAGAAACACACAACCAACTCTCATGAACCAACAATAAGATTCACACCCACCACCTCAAGGACCTCCCAAGTATCAACCATACCAACCACCACAAAAGAGGAGCCTTGAGAATACCCTAAATCAGTTCATGCAAAGTCAAATGAACTATAACAATAGTTTCACTCAGACTTTTACTAATTTCAAAATCCAGACCACTCAATCTTTCGAGGATCTTAAAAGTCACATCCAATGGTTGACCTAATCCATGGCCACACATGAGAAGGGCCAGTTTTCTGCCCAACCAAAATCACCACAAGACTAATTTCAGGTGAAAAATCCTTCAGTCATGGACACTCCACAAGACTAAGTCCAAGTTGTCACTACACTGAGAAGTGGCAAGGTGATTGACTAGACCATTAGAGACGTGCTAATTTCCAAGCCAAAATCTGAGTCAATCCCAGTCAACTCACCAGTTGAGCCTGAACTAATTGAGATTGAACTAGAAGAACCTGAGTCTATGATTGAACAAAAGCCAGAACCTTCAGAGGAAAGAGGACCTCTATATCCTATTCTTGCTCCTTTTCCTTATAGACTCAAAACTGTACAGAAGTTGAATAATCAGCCTAAAATTTAAGAGCTTTCTAAGCAAGTAAAAATCAACATCCCACTTTTGGATGCAGTCAAATAGGGTCCATCTTATGCCTAGTTTCTAAAAGACTTGTGCATAGTCAAAAGAAGCCAAAATGTTCAAAAAAGAGTCTTCCCAACAGAACAAGCCACTGCCCTACTTCAACACAAACCCCTCTAAAATACAAAGATCTAGGGTGTTTGACTGTGTCATGTGTCATTGAAAACTTCAGAATCGAACAAACACTATTTGACCTTGGAGCTAGTGTCAACTTGCTCCCTTTTTTCTTCTACCAGTAGTTGGGTCTGGGTGAACTCAAACTCACTTGTGTCACACTCCAGTTGGCAGACAAATCTGTAAAAATTTCTAAGGGCATTATTGAAGATGTACTTGTCAACGTGGATAACTTTGTTTTCCCTGTTGACTTCATTGTTCTAGATACTCAGCTAACAAAATATTCAAAGAACCCAATTCCCGTAATTCTTAGTCGACCTTCAAATGCATTAATCAATTACAGAAATGGGGTCCTGAAATTAACCTTTAGGAATATGACTTTTGAGTTGAATATTTTTAATGTTGCCAAACACCCATGAGAGGACAAAAAAGAGAGAGAAATAAATTTCATTGAGTCGTTGGTTCAAGAACATCTGAATAACACATTCTGTGAAAACCCCTCTGAATCTTCTCTGTCAAAATCTATCACATTGAGAAAACAGATGATGATTCAAAGAATTGCCCCGCTCATACTGTTAAGACATGGGCCCCCAAATTCAAGGAACTTTCACCAAGTGGCACAACACCACTCTCATCAAGTGTCAGGCCACCAAAGTCTGAATTGAAACCTCTCTCATCTGACCTCAAATATGCATTCCTAGGAGAGGACGAGTCATACTTAGTGGTGATTTCATCTAAACTCACAGACTTGCAAGAGTCTAAACTGATTGAAGTTCTTAAAAGTCATAAAAACACCATTGGGTGGACTATCGCTGACTTGAAAGGTATAAGCTCGTTGATCTGCAATCATGCTATACACTTGGAAGAGGATTCAAAACCCTCTAGTCAAATGCAGAGACGACTAAACCCTCACATGAAGGAAGTTGTGAGAATATAAGTGCTCAAACTCTTAGATGCAGGGATAATCTTTTTCATCTCTGATAGCAAATGGGTTAGTTCAACCCAAGTTGTGCCCAAGAAGTCTGGGGTCATAGTGGTAAAAAATGATGCAAATGAACTAGTACTAACTCAAGTTGTCACAAGATGACGGATGTGTATTGACTATCGAAAACTCAATTTGGTAACTAGGAAAAACTATTTTTCTCTTCCCTTTCTTGACTAAGTTCTAGAGAGAATTACAGGTCATGAATTTTACTGTTTCTTGGATGGGCATTCTAGGTACAATCAAATTGAGATAGCATTAAATGATCAAGAGAATATCATATTCACATTCCCCTTTGGCACCTTTGTATTCAAAAGGATGTCATTTGGATTTTGTAACGTTCCTGTAATATTCCAAAGATGCATGCTGAGCCTGCTTAGTGACATGATCAAAATTTTTTTAGAGGTTTTCATGGATGACTTCTCTGTCTGTGGTGACTCATTTGATTCATGTTTGGCCAACCTAGAGAAGGTATTGGTAAGATGTCAGGAAGCCAATTTGGTACTTAATTGGAAAAAATGTAATTTCATGGTAACACAAGACATTGTCTTAGGTCACGTTGTGTCGTTTGAAGGCATGAAAGTTGACAAAGTAAAAATAGACCTGATTGGGAATTTGCCTGCTCCTAAGACTATAAAGGATGTCCGATCATTCATAGGACATGTAGGCTTTTACAGAAGATTCATAAAAGATTCCCCTAGGCCGTCGTGCCGAGGTTGCCCCATACTTCTGCGATTCTACTTTCTGTCCCCCCTTGGTGAAGAGTCCATTTTGTCACTTCAAATGCGGTGGAGATATATTTTGTCATGATGTGGTAATGTGCTTGAGGGTGTTGTGTCCAAGGGTGTTGCGCTTGTCACTGTTATCTATACAACAGTGAGAAATACTTATGAGAAATAATTTTTAAAAGTACTTTTAAAAAGTCACTCCAACACACACCCTTAGAGTTATATTTTTCCTATTAAATTTAGAGTGTTAATATTAGCCGTTAGATTAACTTTAAAGTAAAATTTAAAGCGATTTCAACTACGAAAAGCAAAAGTCATTTTGTTTATCTTTTGAAATTTGAATTGTAAGCTATTTTATTATTATATATATATATATATATATATATATATGTACGTAATTATAAATACACGAAGGTTTTATAGATAATGCCACCTAGCTTGGCCTTTATATAGGTCAAAAAATTGTACAATTGGAAGATCTTCAACAGTTGTTTGAATGAAGCGGCACTGAAAGTGAAACAGAAGCTGACGCCTTCTAGCATAAATATCTCAACTGGTTTGAATTAGTCAAGATGAGCCGAGATGAAGAATTGCTGAGTTGAAGTGTTGGCGACCAAGGAGTTAAGATCCTTCTTGAGTCTAGAACTCGCCCATCAAGCATCATGTGCTTTTATTAGGTGTTTTGTTTTGAGTCCAATATTGTTTTCTCATCTAAAAGGCCTAAATATTTAATGAAACTTGCTAATAATTTTTCTTTTCACTCCTTTCCTCTTCTTGGATTGCATTTGTAAACTTAAATATTTTGAGTTCAGATCTAATGAACCCCATAAACTCCGAGATATTCATTAAATTCATGAATAAAAAATTGGTTAGAACGATTTTCTATTATCAACCCAAAAAAGAGAAAGAGGACGTAAATGGAAATACAATAATATTGAGGGTGCTAAATGGAAAGTAATGATTTCATATTATTAAATAAAGGAGATAAAGATGCTTGAAACTCCAAAAGTCATTACTCATTGCTGCCAAAATTACACAGCCCACCTCAGCTGTCGGATCATTTCATCCCAATCCAATAAACCTAAAAATACCACCAAACCCTTTTCTTTTCTCCCTCTTCTCAATATACCCTTTTTATTTCTCTCTCCAAAATCTCTGTTTCTCTCTCTCTCCCCGTATGGACCCAGGGCTTGATCCACCGGCGACTGACGAACCAGCCGTTCACATAGCTTATGCAGCGAACCCGACCCCAAGCCATGCCGTTATCCACAACCACCCACCATATGCTGAGGTAAACGAATTTTGAATTTTTTGTTTTCTTTGTTCAAGAATCACTTCTTGTATTTTTGTTTTGATTTTCTTGGTGGGTGTGTTCTATTTAGATGATAACGACGGCAATAACGGCGTTGAAGGAAAGGAATGGGTCGAGTAGAACAGCCATAGCGAAGTACATAGACAAGGAGTACTCAAACCTGCCACCGAGTCACTCAGCCTTGTTGACCCACCATTTGAAGCGGTTGAGGAACACGGGTCAACTCGTCATGGTCAAACACTCTTACATGCTCCCTAGATCTGTTCCTCCTGGTAACAATGCCAACGGGTATGCTCCTTCTTCCGATGGACCTAAACGTGGGCCTGGTCGTCCTCCTAAGCCCAATCCCAATGCAAATCTTGAGGCCCGTATTAATCCTGGAGAAGCTGGGTCTGATGTGTATCCTCCAACAGCTGGGCTTGAGGCCCATATTAATCCTGGTGTTCTGGGGTCTGATGTGTATGCACCAGTATCTGGGCATGAGGCCCATATTAATCCTGGTGTTCTTGGGTCTGATGTGTATTCTCCTTCTTCTAGCGGTTCAAAACGTGGGCCTGGTCGTCCTCCTAAGCCCAAGACTAATACTAATCATGAGGCCCAGNTCCAGTATCTGGGCATGAGGCCCATATTAATCCTGGTGTTCTTGGGTCTGATGTGTATTCTCCTTCTTCTAGCGGTTCCAAACGTGGGCCTGGTCGTCCTCCTAAGCCCAAGACTAATACTAATCATGAGGCCCAGATTAATCCTGGAGTTGTTGGATCCGAGGCAATGTTGTTTTCGCTTGGGCTTGTTGATGGACCACCACCTATGCTGGCTAAGAGAGGCCCAGGCCGTCCACAAAAGGTTAAGACTAGGTTGGTGGGCGTAGAATCTGGTGGCCGAATGTTGACTAAGAGAGGCCCTGGACGTCCTCCAAGGCCCAAATCTTTGTCAGTAGTATTGGGCCAAGGTGGGCCGAAGAGGGGCCCCGGACGCCCTCCTAGAAGTGGACCTAGGGGCGTTGTTGCTGGTGTAAAGCCAAGAGGCAGGCCCAAGAAGGACGGTTCTTCCACGGTGAAGCGGCCCGGAAGGCCACGTGGCAGGCCGCTGAAGATTGTGGCAGTTGCTGTTGGCAGTGGCGGTGATGCCGCTGCAGGATTGGGTCCTCTGAGTAATGACGGTAAAGTGTTACCGGGGAAGCGGAGGGGTCGTCCGCCAATGGCTGCTGGGCCTAAAATGCCTAGAAAATTTACTGGGAAACCTTTGGGCCGGCCCAGAAAGGTAAATTCATTTCTATTCTTCTTTTGTTTACCAATAGGACTTCAAGAAAAAAATTCAAAAACACCACTAGATAAGGAAAATGCAATTTTGAGCACAGTTAAACTTAATGACCAAGTGTCACAGAGACCTAATTATTTGAGCACAGTTACGTGAATCTATTTTTTCATTGTGCTCTAACAATTAATAAATTGCAAGTTATCATATTTTATTCTTATTATTGATTAAAGTTAATCCTGGTATATAGCTTTACCAGCATTGGTATTCACACTGGCTGGTGGTACGTTAGTAGGCCCTCTATATAATTGCTCACACTAACTAAGTGGATTATCTCTTAATTTTTCCCTCCCCTGGGCTGGAAGTAGTATCAATTGTTACGAGCTGAATAAAAGCTTATGTCTTCATATAAAGATGAAGCTCCCAATCAGTATTTTCGACTTCTGTGAAAATACTGATTTCATTTATTGTTTCACAAGGTTACCAATTGCCAACTCTAGTGTCATTCTCGTTCCTGGTCCTTCCATCTTTGTCATGCTTAGTAAGACTTGAAAAAAGGCTCATGATCTACTGGCTACCTCGAATTCCATATGGCCTATAGGGTTAGGGATCAACTATTTTCAGTAGGTGTAGGTCTACGGGTGTTCTGATATCCCAATGGGTATGGCAATCGTCGTGTTCTTGACCCTCCTTCTGGCTTGGTAGGGCAATGGAAAATAGGTCCCAGACTGATTCGTGTAAGGCCTGTGAGTGGGAGTTAAATAAGCCCATTGGGTAGGCTTGAAATCAGGCAAACTGTGGGTTGCTGCTTTGGCCTGGTTTGCCCTGATGTTGATGATTACATGCCAAGCACCAGTTGACTAATTCTTAGTTTGAAGTCAAGCCTTATTGAGTACATGCATCAATGATTTCTTGTGGAAAGAGGTTAGATGAGTGAAAGAAAGCTATTTTTGTCTCGGCATACAATTACATAAATTCATTTTGTGCTTGAGAGTATTCTTATTTATGGTATGTCCCTGTTTACGATGCATTTGAAGGTTTTGAAATGAATTTAGGAGATGATGATGGTTTTTATAGAGGCTAGTGTAGAAGGCAAGAAAGATCCCTCGATGTGGTGGGAGTCTAGATATGAGTTGAAGAGTGTTTTTGCTTTGCGGAACTTGAGCACCAAAAAAATTTCAGTACTCGCTAAATGGTTATGGACATTTCCCATTTACGTCAATAGTTCATGTCATTATTTGATTAAAAGTAAATATGGGATTCAAGATAATGGGGGAAATTTCAAAGGTAGTGAGAGGAGGTGTTCTCGTTGTCTTTGGAAATTCTTTTTTCAAAAGGTATTGTCTTTGAAAATTCATTTCTCAAGGATTAGTTTTTTTCCTACCCATGTTAAATAGGTAGGTTTTTACTTTTTGTTTGAAGTTCCTTAGGTGAGTCACAAAGATTGTGTTCCAGTTTTTCTGCTTCATTTTGAGGGCTTTGGTTCAAATTACAAAGATAATTTTTTATAGCGTTTGTGCTGTTTTGGTATTGTTTTGGGTGGTTTGCTTGAAATGAAATGAGATGATTTTCAATGAAAGAATGACTACTTGGGAAGATTTGTGGTGCAAAAAAACTTTTATGGCATCTCTTTAGGCTTTCCACAACTGAAGTTTTTGACGGAATTTTGTTCTATTTGATTAAGTATAGTGGAAACTTGAATAACTGAATATTGGAGTGTAGGGAAAGAAGAACATAATAGGAAGGAAGTAGGAATTATGAAACAATATTGCAATGTACACCCTATTATATATCAGNCATAAGAGGAAGGAAGTAGGAATTATGAAACAATATTGCAATGTACACCCTATTATATATCAGATTGATATTGAAGACAATTGCCATATTTTGAAAGTAGAACATAATCGGAAAGCAATATGATAAGAAAGTAACATAATAAGAAAGTAGAACACTAAAACTCTCTCTAAAGCTAGAGCATAGAAATGGAAAAACTCCCAACTTGGAGCAGAGGCTACAAATGGTGGATCGCACTAATGGTTTGGTAAGAAAAAGCCGAGTTGATCATTAATCTCTATGAACAGGGTCACAATATGTCCATGTAAATAGTAAGTATAACGAAATCAAGCTCTAGGTGACCGCATCGGACCATACATAGGCTTCCTCCGTCGACACACACTACCACAATACTCCTTGTGAGCAACAAACCCAGGCGGTTGCTTCATATGAAGTTTAAGAAATGATTTGAAAGACAACAATAATGGCACAAACGAACACAACGAACAATACTCAATAAACCATAGGCAACAACAAATTTAACCACAACGATTGAAAGTAGGTAAACCAAGTAGAACTAGAGTTGAATCATGCAAAGAGGGGTTGAACCATAACTCCAAAATTGACATTGAATCTGGCTGAAAAACAAATGAGTTGGCATTGAATCAGTCTGAAACAATGTTATCTGCATCAGACCATATATAGGCTTCCTCAGTCGACACACACTACCACAATACTCCTTGTGAGCAACAAACCTAGGCGGTTGCTCTATATGAAGTTTAAGAAATGATTTGAAAGACAACAATAATGGCACAAATGAACAGAACGAACAATACTCAATAAACCATAGGCAACAACAAATTTAACCACAACGATTGAAAATAGGTAAACCAAGTAGAACCAGATTTGAATCAGGTAAAGAGGGGTTGAACCACAACTCCAAAATTGACATTGAATCTGGCTGAAAAACAAATGAGTTGACATTGAATTAGTCTGAAACAATGTTATTTGGACTGTGGGTTGTTTTGTTATATGATAAGGGTACGCGGTACGATAGGGGTATGATTAGTTGATACGATATTTTGAGTCACAATTCATTTTGGAACTCTTATCTAGATCGTTTTTACCACTATACAATATTATATATCATATAACATTCATAAACACTAAGTCAATTATTATTTATTTTGTATTTGTGCTCGATTTTTTATTATTTAAAATAATATATAATTATAAATCTATATACCCGTTAAATAATATGTATTTTATATTTGTGCTATGTGTACAATTTGAGATCACAAATTTTAGTGGTTTAGATTACAAACCCACTCCATTCGGGATCGATGGATCTAGATCGTGGGTTCTTAGCAGTTTAGTGAATTCTAGTAACTATGGTCTGAAAGCCACTAAACTAGCACCAAACATGCCCGAAAACCATTGAACCCACACTAAACTAGGTTGAAAACATTGAAACGATATTGAACTGGGATGAAAACCAATAAACAACATCAAGTAACATAATAGGAAAGTAGAAAAACATAAAAGTAGAACTCTAACAAGTAGCATAGGGCCAAAGTGCGCAAATTGTTGACACTTGGATTTTTTTTTTATCATATTCTATTGTTGTAAGTTTTTTAGCCTTTTCATTTCTTTGTTTTTCACTCTTTCACATATTGAGGACTCCTTGTCCTCTAATGTACTTTTTGCATTTTATTTTTAATAATATTCTTGTTTCTGATCAAAAGGATGTCCAATAAATCATGAATGGTGACTTTACAATTACTAGAATCTCCTTTTCACCTTACCTCAGTGCCCCATTTTTTTTTAATTTTTTTTTTGAACATATTCTTAGTTTTTAATTGACCAACACTCAACAATACTTTGTTGTGTGACCCAATTATTCTTGGCTACATGAATCTTATTTTTGCATTGTGCTCAAAAAATGATGATGTTTTTTGTTAAACTGCAAGTTGTCATATTTTTTTGTTATTACTCAAAAATTAATTTTGGTCTAGCTCTATCTCACTATAACTCGTATGTATCACATTACCTTCCTCACTGCTACGATATTGAACTGGGATGAAAACCAATAAACAACACCAAGTAACATAATAGGAAAGTAGAAAAACATAAAAGTAGAACTATAACAAGTAGCATAGGGCCAAAGTGTGCAAATTGTTGACACTTGGAATTTTTTTTTATCATATTCTATTGTTGTAAGTTTTTTAGCCTTTTCATTTCTTTGTTTTTCACTCTTTCACATATTGAGGACTCCTTGTCCTCTCATGTACTTTTTGCATTTTATTTTTAATAATATTCTTGTTTCTGATCAAAAGGATGTCCAATAAATCATGGATGGTGACTTTACAATTACTAGAATCTCCTTTTTACCTTACCTCAGTGCCCCATTTTTTTTTAGAACATATTCTTAGTTTTTAATTGACCAACACCCAACAATACTTTGTTGTGTGACCCAATTATTCTTGGCTACATGAATCTTATTTTTGCATTGTGCTCAAACAATGATGATGTTTTTTGTTAAACTGCAAGTTGTCATATTTTTTTGTTGTTACTAAAAAATTAATTTTGGTCTAGCTTTATCTCACTATCACTCATAGGTATCACATCACCTTCTCACTGGTACGACATTGAACTGGGATGAAAACCAATAATCAACACCAAGTAACATAATAGGAAAGTAGAAAAACATAAAAGTAGAACTCTAACAAGTAGCATAGGGGGCCAAAGTGTGCAAATTGTTGACACTACAAATTTTTTTTTTTCATATTCTATTGTTGTAAGTTTTTTAGCCTTTTCATTTCTTTGTTTTTCACTCTTTCACATATTGAGGACTCCTTGTCCTCTCATGTACTTTTTGCATTTTATTTTTAATAATATTCTTGTTTCTGATCAAAAGGATGTCCAATAAATCATGGATGGTGACTTTACAATCACTAGAATCTCCTTTTTACCTTACCTCAGTGCCCCATTTTTTTTTAGAACATATTCTTAGTTTTTAATTGACCAACACCCAACAATACTTTGTTGTGTGACCCAATTATTCTTGGCTACATGAATCTTATTTTTGCATTGTGCTCAAACAATGATGATGTTTTTTGTTAAACTGCAAGTTGTCATATTTTTTTGTTGTTACTAAAAAATTAATTTTGGTCTAGCTTTATCTCACTATCACTCATAGGTATCACATCACCTTCTCACTGGTACGACATTGAACTGGGATGAAAACCAATAATCAACACCAAGTAACATAATAGGAAAGTAGAAAAACATAAAAGTAGAACTCTAACAAGTAGCATAGGGGGCCAAAGTGTGCAAATTGTTGACACTACAAATTTTTTTTTTTCATATTCTATTGTTGTAAGTTTTTTAGCCTTTTCATTTCTTTGTTTTTCACTCTTTCACATATTGAGGACTCCTTGTCCTCTCATGTACTTTTTGCATTTTATTTTTAATAATATTCTTGTTTCTGATCAAAAGGATGTCCAATAAATCATGGATGGTGACTTTACAAT